TGCATTTTGCACAAACTCCAGACGACCTCTCAGCAGGGAGGAATTCACTTCCTGTTACATTAAAAGCTTGTTGCACAGCTTTCGTGCCAAATTTCACCCGATAGTCATGTTCAGCCGAGCCAGTCAGAGAAAACCAGATCTGTTACAAACTCTGCATCCGTTCTGGTAATCCATCATCAGTCGTACTGTAGCTCACACGTGTTCGTTCAACTTTTCATCCATTCGACGGCGTGGTTTCTGTCGTGGAGCTGCAGGGGGCGCCGCTTCAGGTTCAGGGATTCGTTCACTTTGTCTTCAGCCACAATGCATCACAACTTCAGCCTCAGTGGGAGTTCTAGTTCCCAGCTCATCTCAGGGAGGAACGTGTTTTCTGAAGTGATCGTCTGCTGGGTTTTAACATTTTGAAGCTGCTGTGCCTCAAGTGTAAACAAAAAGGAACAAAGAAAACCCACTCTCAAGACTTCAGAGGGTGTTTTTAAAGAATAAACATAATACTAAAGGAGTTCGCCGATAAAAGGACGAGCTCGTTTACTTTCCACTGTGTGGAGTGATGGAAAATACTAATTAGTGCAGAGGTGGTTGTTATGGCAACTGTCCAGAGAGTTCACCAGCAGGTGTCGTGTCCGTGTCATCATATGCTTCCCCTTCACAGAGAAACAACCCTCAATAAAGGACTCTGAATCAGACGTGAGCCGGCCTGGTCCTGTGTCTCTGATGCTCCTGTTTATCTGCTTGTTGTTTATGAAGTGTTGAACTGAAGGATCAGGGGCTTTTACTGGGTGCTGTGATGCTAAAGAGGAGCTTAAATCACCAAATATTTACCCTCATCTGTTCCTGTTTGGCCTCATATGCATCAGACTGAATGATTTTCATCAAATAAATGAGCAAAGATTCTTAAAAATACTCCAGTAATAGCTTAAACTGACCCCAATGCATGAAAAAAAAGCCTTTTTTACATTTAAAACACTTTAAATAAATCCCCTCCTCTGTATTATTTTCTAAATTCAGTCTTAATAGTCTTCAAACTTGTATTTCTCAGGTTGTCAAACATCCAAAACACGTTGGATTCAAGCTGAAAAACAATCAGGCAGAAATCATCTGATTTAGAGAAACGTTGATCCAAAGTTCTGATTGTTTTGGAGGATTGTGATCCAGTCAAACTGTATTTAAATCTGTTTCACCTTCACTGGTTTAAACTTGAATCTTTCTGCACCTTGATCAGTTTGACAGTGGGACTGTTGGAGCCTTTTTCATGTCTCATAATCAGGCTTTGATTTGTTTTGTCTGGATGTCTGTTGGACTTCTTCAGCAGCTTGGAGAAGAAAATCAGAAACTACACTAGCTCCATGTTTTCCTGCAGGACGTTACACTGATGTCTGACACATGAAACCAAACCCCAGATCGTCCTGTACTCTCATGAGCAGACACTATGAAGTGCTTCAGCAGTGAGTGGAGCAGCAGTTCTGCCCTCTGGCCTCCAGCTGGGGCGTCTCTGCCTCCATACATTCCTATAAGCCTCCGTCAAAGCGGCGCGGAGGAGGAGCGTTAACGGGGCCGGTCAGCGAGGCGGACATGGCGGCGCACGGTCCAGCGAACCCTGTTTTGTCGGCTTATATTCTGCACGACGTGTAGATTAAAAACCCCGCCGCGGGTCGCTGAGATGCTGCCCGCTCGGTGCGTAAAGCTGCGACTTGGTGTTGGGTGAGGCTGCAAAGTTTCCAGGCAGAGCTCCAGAGCAGGGCGGCTGCTTCACAGGAATTAAGGTATGAAAAAATAATTAACCCTCACACACTGATTTAAATGTTGTTATCTAAACTCTTTAAAGGTTTTCTTTTAAAACCGTCTCCAAGTTGGTGGATCGCGGTTTTACGCACCAACTCAAGCTGCTGCAGCCTGTAGCTCCCAGCTGACCTTGACCACATCCAACTGTTGCGGACTATTATTAGACCTGCAGGGTGTGATCCAGAAGGAGCTTCTGGTCTAAAGGGGCCTGCAGCTGCGCACAAAGTTGCACCAGTTTGGGGGGGAGTGCACCTCTTGCTGGTCAGATCTCATCATTCTGCTTTAATCCATCGCATTCCTCGTGAGGTCATTATTCTCTGAGGACTGTTTCCAGTCATGTGTGACTATGAGGAGGTCACTTAACTCTCCAACTTGCTGTGTCCGCACTTCCAGCGCCTCCGTCTGGATTAGAGCCCCGCTGCTCTGCGCGCAAATTAGAGTTTCCACACAGACGCGCCCTGTTCGTGCGCAAAGGCACCGAAGAAGAGCGTAAATTCTGCACATTTCTTATTACACCGCGAAGTGTAGCATTAGTTTCATTTTTAAAAGTTGTCCACAGTTCTCCAGGAAGGTTTCTAATTTAGATTTTGTGCGTTTTTCTGTGTTGAGTCCAGATTTAGGAGCTTTGGAGCAAAAAACAAACAAACTTTCCTGCAGAAACTTTAATTCTGTTACACGTTTAGCACAAAATGAATCCTCCTCTCCCCAAAAGAACTTGTTAGACTTTAATTATGACTCCATGAACATGTCAGTATTGACCTCCGTCCTCCCTCCTGTCTCCTCCACCGGGACGTTGTTCGGCTCCTGTCCGGCTGCAGTAGCAGATTTCTGACGCTTGTGCGCAGTGTTGGTTTGTAGCCGCACAATGTTGGAGTTCTGCTCCTGTGTCTCTGTTAGATGCTCTTAAGAAAAAAAAAAAAAAAGTGGAAATTAGACTTCTATGTTTTATTCCAGGAAAACCAGAGCAGAGGTTGGATCTAAATTTAGCCTGAAAAGGAAAAAATCATCAGAAAATCATCAGAAAGTGTCGCTCAGGTGTGTGAGTGGAACAACAGAACAGGGAAACAGTAATAAATCCTGTTTTACTGCCTGTAATTCATCTTTATTTGAACTGGATCACAGTCCAGAGCAGAGCTTTGAGGAAACAAACTCTGATTTTCAGGCCAGAGCTGTGGTCAGAGCTCTGGCTGTTTATGGGTGTGTCGGTCTCTGCTGACTGCATCAGGCTCACACAGGATGTTTGATAAAAGTCAACCCACAGAAGAATCACAATTCACTGTCTGCTTCATAACAACCGTCATGTTCAACATCATTTATATGTCAGTGTGTGTCTGAGACGTGCAGGTGGAGTCATGATGCTGCAGGTTTACTGATATTTGTATCATTTATCTTAGATTTTTGAAAAACAGCAACTTAAACTTCACAAGCCAACAAAACCAACTGTAAAAATAATTTGTTAAAACAGTTTTAGCTGTAATTTTGGAACAATTCAGTTATTTTTACAGATTTAACCTGTTTGGTTAAATTAAAGATATTATTACATAAACATGAAAACCATAGAAAAATGTAATTTTTTTATGTAAAATAAAATAAAAATAAATTAGATAACAAGCCAAAATTTTTAAAAAGTAAAATAAAAATATTTATATCAAAAATGTAGATTCTACAGATTATAATTTATTCTTTTACAAAAAAAATTGCATTTTTAAAAAAATATTTAAATCAGCAAAAAATGTAGTTATTTTAAAAATTTCTGACATTTTTTGGAAGAAAGAAGAGACATCACATTTTTACCTGTTATTTTACACGTTTTGTAAAAATACAGAAAACATCTTTTTTCAAATCCCAGTTAGTTTCAACTGAAAAAAAATCATAAATCTGCATTTTTTTAATAGTTATTTGTTCTTTTACGATGTGTGAAAGTAAAATCAGTTTAAATCTGTTAGAAATCTGATTGTTTTACAGATATTTGTCACAGTTTTTACAGTTTATTTAACCTGACAGCGTTCCCTGGTCTATCTGTGGGTTTTTATAGCTCCTCTGCTGCCGTCGTTTCCACTACAACCTGCTCTTATTGCAAATTTTTTTTAAATTAGCAGCTGAGCTGATTTATTCCATCAGAGGAGACTCACAGCACCAGAACCTGGATGATTATTGACAGTCTGCCAGCTTACTCCAGCGGACTCATTTGTATGTGAATGAGCGACTGCGAGACAGAAAATCTGCTCATTGTCTTCGTGACAAACCTCAGAATCCTGTCGGATAATATTCCAGATCACTTTCTAATCATCTGGTGTCTGATCAGGCTTTAAGCTCACTGATTCACCACATCCTCCTTCATTCTCCCTCCAGCTGCTGTTTTACTTCTGAACACGACTACAACCCCTCTCTGGTGTCGTCTAACCAAAACCATTTGATTTAAACCCCTTTTAGAGGCACAGAACCATCCAGAACAGTGGCCCTGCTCCTCACAGGTCCAGCTAAGCCTGCAGCACACACACTTCCTCTGAGGTATCTCCAGCATGCCGCTCCCCGCTGTGTCGACTATTTGGTGTCGTCAGCGGTCATGGAACGCAGCACAGCCCAACCCAAGAGGTTATTTCTGTCCGCTGCCTGTTAACTATCCCAGAACCCCGCGGCCTCCGCCCGTCCAGGAGGAGGAGGAGGAGGGGGAGGAGGAGGAGGAGGAGGAGGCTCTGCAGGAGCTGGCAGCAGCTTCACATGGAGCTGCTCCAGAAACGCTGGTCCAGGTGGAGCAGAGCCGGATGTTAGAAAGATGTTTGGAGTCTGAGATGAGTTTGTGTTCATGTTCAGCAGGTTTACACGATCAGTTGAGGCTTTATTTCCCTCATGTGTGTGTATTTATTTCCTTCACCACATCTTCACATCCAGTCATCAGAGCTCCACTGTCTCTAAGTCACGTTTATGTTTCAGCAAACTCAGCTGAAGTTCAACACTAACTGGTTTTAAAGGTAGAAAACTGCCAAAATATATTATTTCTATGATAAAACACGTCATGCTGCAGATCATTGATGTCCCAGTCTGAGTCACCAGGTGTGTCATTAGGATATTTGTTTGATATAATTTAGATTTAAAAGCCAGCAAATGACAACTTAAGCCAAACAAGCCAATTAAAACACTATAAAAAGCTCTTTTTCTGAGATTTTTGTTTCAGTTTTTACAGCTTTTTTGTAATCTAAGTAATAATAATAACAATAACAATAAATTTATATAAATAAACACTTTTATTTTACATATATTTGCAATTTTGAAATTTGAGGTTTAAAAGATATTAACTGTTATTTTACAGAGTTTCCCTGTTTTGATTGGTTGTAGAAAAAATTTATTAAAATTACATTTAAAAAAATCTAATTTCACATGTTGACTGTAAAAAAAAAAAAAACAACAAAAACTGTCTTTGCATAATGTCCACATCAAAAATGTGTATTTTTACAAATTGTTCTTAAAATTACTGCAAAATTACAGTTTTACTGTGATTCAATCTGCTAAAATATATATATATATATTACAGATATTTTCTATTATTTTACCAGTTTTTATAGCTTTTGAACGTCCCTGTAGTCCATCACGTTTTAATGTAAAAATAAATACATAAATACATAAAATAAAAGTTATTTTACATAATTTTGCAATTATTAATTATTTTGCAAATTAATTTTTCTAATCAGTTATTTTTCAGATTTCCCTTGTTTGGATAAAATATAGATAACATCTTTTTTTTTTAAAAAAGGTTCAGTTCACATGTTGGTTGTATAAAAAAAAACTGTCTGTACATAATGCCAACTCAAAAATCAGTATTTTCACAAATGTTAGTTTGTTCTTTCACAATCTGTGGACATAAAATTAAAGTTTTCCTGAGTTTAAATCTGCTAAAATTATATAATTCAGCTGAAGGTTCTCTTTTTGCACCTGAACTCTCTGTTTGAGTTTATTTCTGTGAAAACAAACAGATTGATTCACTTTATCGCTGCAGCATCAGGCTGCTCCGCCCGGTCACTGCTGGGATGGAAAAGGTCTCCTCTCTTCACTTCCCGTCACCTCCGTGCTGCCCTGACGACCACCCAGCAGCAGACGGAGGCCCGTCGCTCATTTACTAAACGCTGTTATGACAGATTCATATCTTTTGTGTTTACGTTGCTCCTCGTGTTGATGTTTCAGGACCGAGAGGCTGCGACGTGACGGGAGGACCGAAGCCTCAGGTGCTGTGAGTGAGTGTCTCTGATTTAGTTTTAAATTATTTAATCCTGTGACTGAAGAAAAGTCAAATCTGTAGAAGAAGCATGAAGACGTCAGATGTTTTAGGAGATGTTGGTCCTCCTCACATCTGGATCGCTTTTGTAAATACATGAAAAAGTGCAAAAATAGTTTCATAGACAAAAGAACAGATGTGCAGCCAGTAAACAAACAACTTTTTAATGCAAAGCTGCAACAATCAAGCTGGAAAATCAACCTGTGTGACGAAATAGATGCAAAACTGAAGCAGAGCAGCAAATAAATGATCATTTAAAATTCACACACAAGACTTTAGATTGTGTTTTTGCTTCCTTGTGTGTTTTATTCTCCAGCACTGCTTCTTTTTGTTGTTTTCCTTTAAAATTACAAAAAGAAATCTAATAAATGTGACTTCAGAAATGAGAAAGGCTGCAATACTTTATTAAACCCAGTAAAAATAAATAAAAATGGCACATTTGCAGCCATAAAATAAGCCCAAATATCGCTTCACTTCCTGTTCAGACTTCTTAAACTTGATTTAGATGTTAGAAGGTTGAGCAAAAGAGTGGAGTTTGACGTGAAGCAGGAGGATTTCAGGAGATTTCTGCACTTTAATTACCCGTCCGTCCTGCCCGTGGACAGACGTGGTGACGAGGGTGCAAACAGCAACAGGTGGAGCTCGTCTTGCCTCCACAGGGCGGGTCCAGACGCTGGCCGCCGGGTGTCGGAGGGTCGGTGAAGCTCCACGACAGTCAGGAGGGGTTTGGAGTCAGAGACGTGAGGAGAAACTTTGCTTCAAAAGAGAAAAAGTCACAAATAATATAATAATAATAATCTATTATAAAATCAGCTAGTTGCTAGATATTTGCTTAAATCATTAAGAATTCATACATGCTGTCTTCCCGTAGAGTCATATCCTGATGTTTGAATGCTGGTAAATGAAATTAAATGTGATTAAACGATTAAAACGTACTTTTTGTTCGACCTGCAGGTGAGCTGACAGGAAGATCTCACCGCTCAGAGCTTCTGTAGCGTCTGATTAGTATTTTTGGCCTTTCTTTTCCCTCAGTTTTGTCTGATAGGATGTGATGTGAGAAAGGAGGAGAAGAATCAGCAAACCCAAACCAAAACCGCTGAAATGGAGCAAAGTCTGAGCATCAAGAAGTGAAGAAGCTGCCGTCTGAGGGAAGAATGTGAGAGACGAGGAACACTTGTGAAGGCTGAAATAAGGAGGCAGCAGCTCCCCGGATTAGCTGCAGAGATGTGAGGGCTCCAACAGCGTCCAGACGGAGGACCACAAGCGTCTGCTGAATGCTTCCCAAAGAACCGAACCGGAGGAGCGTGTCGAAGTCCTCGAGGCTGAGAGGAGGCCGCTGCACCACAGAAAGGACGGAGATGGTTCATTTCACAGGAATCCAGACGGAGCCGAAGGAAGCAGCAGCAGGACGGAGCGATGCAGCAGAGCTTCAGTGTGTTCTGCTGCTGGAGCGTCTCGCTTAGAGCAGCGAGTGGAGGAAGAGCAGCCTCATGATGGAAACAGTCCGACGGTGGAGGCTGGAGGGTCAGAGGGCGACGAGGAGGAGTCGCTTAAAGAGTCTTCATTCACTGACCTGACGGCCTCATGACACACCAGAGCGACTGTAATCACTCCTCTGCTCTGGGAAAGTCGCATCTTCTGAAAGCTCCAACGTGTCCGACTTGGTGCTAAAAAGTCTGAGTGTTGCAGCAAAACACACATTTAAAATAAACACAATTTTAAAAATGCATGCAAGATACACTGATGTTGAGACTTAGAAGAAGAAAAAATGTCAAATAAAGTTGAATGTGTGGAGTTGAAGAAGCTCAAAAACATCATGTTCAGACTCAGCATTAATACAACAGTGTGCATCGATCTTTTTGTGTTGTGTTCAATCAGTTACAGGAGTTAGCGTCTCCTCTTCAGTCAGACGTATTCATGGCTGCTTCATGAGTCTGTAGCATAAAGTGAAGTTGATTCCTTGTAAAACTAAGTTGGTCCAACGAGTGTTTCTACATTATTTATGAGGATTTTTGTGCTGAATTATCATAAGTATGAATAAAGGTTCTTAAATTGACCAAAAAAAATAAGTTGCTCCAAATGGATTAGATCAGTTTTTTGGGTTTTTCATGTTTTAGGTCATCGCTTCTCAGTACAGAACCCCAGAAGGGACATAAAGAAAGAAAGAAAGAAAGAAAACAGCAACTTTCTCGGATCTTGTAAAAGTTGTATCAATCTTATTGGACATTTTGTGAAAACTGTGTCTCTCCCTAAGCGCTGCTAGAATGTCTTTACATTTTATTTCAAAATAAAACTCAATAAAACTCTCGTGATCCATTGTCGTTTCTCCATATTGCCAAAAACACCAAGAAGTATATCTACTGATAGTTTTCTTCTTCTTCTGTTTTATTTAATGATGTATACTGTTTAGTGATGTTGCACTGCAGTCACTGATTGAGAAACGACATTTTGTTCTTGTGTATGAAAATGCAGCGTGAAAATGACAATAAAACCTTCTTCTGCTTCTTCTTCTTCTTCTTCTATAGATTTGGCGGTTGGCATCCAGCGTTCAGGTGCATTACCGCCACCTACTGGACTGGAGTTAGCTGTAGTTTTGCGAGATCGCAAAAAAGTTATTGCAAGATCCCGAGAAAGTTTTGTGAGATCTTGCAAAAGTTACCTCTATTATTTTCCCTCTCCCTGTGTTCTTTTCTTCCTCCACGTCCCTTCCGGGGCTCCGCATCTCAGAAACTAATTCAACAACAAACGTTTGTCTGTTTAACTTTTTTTTTAAAGAATAGAATAGAATAGTTCTTCATTGTCACTGTGGACTCAACACTAAAAAGACAGTGTTACAGCAGTGAAGTGTCGTAGCATCCCTTTTTTTGGCAACAATACGCAAGTAAAAAAATAAAGTAAGATAAAATAACGTGAAAGGAAAGATAAATATGTATATAAATATAAAGTATAAAATGTAAAATATTAAAGCAAAGGAGGTATTTACAGTACAGCTACAGTATTTAAAGCAGACAATATTTACAACAGTATAAGTGGCATGTACATGTGCCAATTCTTTACATTCAAAATACAGTTTTGTGTGTTCAAACACCCAGTATAGCAAAGACAGTAATTCAGAGGCAGATGTTCGCTCCACTCTTCTACGCTGAGTGAATAAACTCCATCCTGAACTCGTGGAGGTTCAGATGAACCCAAACTGAAGGACTGATAAGATTCTGTTGATAATTCATGTCGAACATTCATCAGGTTTCGTCCAGTTTACGGTTTAGTCTCTGGTCTTTGTTATTCATTCAAGAACGGAGGATGCAAAAGCAATATTAAAGCACGCTTGTAGGTTTGCTGTCATTCATCAAGTACTCAGTTTTTGCAAAAGTAGTTGGAAAAACCGTCCAAATAAAATCAGACCTGGTTCCACAGCAGAACCAGAAACATCTCTCACACTGAGCCGTCGGCCTTTTCTACCTCCATCCCTCCTGCCTTTAATCAACCAGATCATCTCTGGAGTCTCTCCTGTGTAGTTTAAGATTTATTCAACCGGTCCGTGTGATCTATTTTCAGTCTTTACCTCATGTCATGCAGATACTCTCCGGAAGAAACGAGAGACGATTGCCAAAACTCGCTTCCCAAGATGGCAGCGGACGCCTCTGCAGAAATCCCACATGGCGACGCTTTCAGAGCCACAGAGTCAAAAAATAATTTATGAAAAGACAAATAAGAGCAGCAAACGAGCGTAAGAGTCAGAAATAAGATGATTGAGCTTCTTTCTGCTTCTCTCAGATCAGCTCATGGAGAAATAAAACACAACTCTCACGGCTTTGGTTGAATTTTTAGTCTTTTATTCAGTTTGTCTTGAGCTTTAATCTTATAGTTTGTAATCCTGTTTCACCTCGTTACGATTTTATTCTTGCTGCATGACGTCTAGTTTGAAGCTACATAAACAAACTTAATCAGGTTTTGATGAGGAGCAAAGAAAAAAGAAGGAGAATAGAAGTAAGAGGCGGCGTGTTTGCAGGATGTTCTGTGCTTGATGACACAGGTGCTGTGAGCAGAATGCTAATATTAGCACGCTAGCATCCTCACATGTTGAATGTTAGCAACCTAGCATTTGCTAATTTGTTTTTTTTTTTTACTAAAAGCACAAAAGGCCTTCAGATGAGGCTGATTATGGAGGAAGTATTGGAAAAAACTATAAATCTGACCTGATTTTGGTGCAAGAAAAACACAAATGAGCAGAATTGTGACCAGTAGAAAGAAAAGACGGTGATCATGAGGACCAGTGGAGCTCTTCATTTATCTAAACTGAGGATATTGGACTCTAATATAAGAGCAGCACTCATTTAGGGTTCAGAAAATTGGAGAATGATGGAAAATTAGATCAGCAAAGTAGAGAAATTCATCAATAACTGCTTAAGTTGGCTCAGTGTGGATGTAGTTTGTGACTGTATATGTAACCGTCAGGTCCATAAATATCTGACACAGTTTTCTTCATTCCCACTCGGTTCACCTCCACAACGGATTTGAAATGAAACAATCAAGACGTGCTTTAAGTGCAGACGTTCAGCTTTAATCTAAATCAGGTAAACGTTGTAGGAATTACAACACAGTTTAAATGTGCCCTCCATTTGTTTAAGGGACCATAAGTAATTGGACAAACTAATCATAAATCAGTCTGTATGTTCCCTTCAGTTGTTAATGCTCTTGCTATCTCTCTGGTGTTTCTATTTGTCAGCCTAATGACGGTTTGCTTCACTGCTAGCGACGGCTCTTTGGATTACATTCTGAGAGTCGACTGAACCAGATTCCCAACATGAAATGAACCCCAGACCTTTTATCGGCTCCTTGTAGATGAAATATTGAGGGAGTTACACACACCTGAACGTGGAACAGCTGAGCAGCCAGCTGTCCGATTACTTTTGGATATCAAATCTGTTGTAACTCCTGCACCGTTCCCCTGATCTGGATGTAAACACCCTCAGATTAAAGCCCCGTGTACACGTAGCACAAACGCTCATATTTCACCGAGAACGAGCACGTCTGAAAACTCAAAGTGGAGATTTGGAAAAACTCTGTCTTTATGTTTGCATGTAGACGGGAGGAGACGGAGTTTGACGTCACAGTGAGCGACAAAAGCGTCATATGTGTGACTCATGTTGACAGTTTGGCTACGTCCATGCACTTGGACTGACATGTTTACAGTCAATATCCATCCATCCATCCATCATCTATACACCTTAATCCTCACCAGGGTCATGGGGGGCTGGAGTCTATCCCAGCCGACTCAGGGTGAAGGCAGGTTCACCTGGACAGGTAACCAGTCTATCACAGGGCTACACTTAGAGACAGACAACCAAGCACACTCACATTCACACCTACGGACAATTTACAATCACCAGTTAACCTCAACATGTTTCTGGACTGTGGGAGGAAGCCGGAGAACCCGGAGAGAACCCACGCTGCACGGGGAGAACATGGAGATTCCACGTAGTGGACGTGAACCGGCGACCTTCTTGCTGCGAGGTGCTAACCAACTGCGCCACCCTGCAGCCCGTTTACAGTCAATATTTTCAAATATTTTACTCGTTTTGTCCTCTAACACCACATCTAGGAGCAGCTCCACTTCTCTGTCGGTCCAAACAAACGACCCTTGTGCCATTATTGTTGAAGCAACAGGAAGTAATTCGTGCCATTCGTTGTTGAGTTTTTCCAGGATTCTGATATTCTGATTGGCTCTCGTTACACTGCCCCCTATAGGTTGCTCATAGCAGCTCTTAACGACGTGTTGATGCGGGTTTGTGTAAAGGAAGATTTTTTTAAAAACAATCTGGTGTGAACTGTGTTATTTTTTAAATAAAATTCCTAAAATTGAACGTCTGCCCTTGAAGCACGTCTTGATTGGTCCATTTCAAACCCATCGTCTTGGTGAAAACGATGTCTAAATATTTACATAAACTTAATTTACGCCACGTTTTCATTCTTTTCAGTCTGTAAATAAAAGCTCCAGAGCATTTTCTCTGGAGTTCCTAAAACCCATGAGGGCTGTCAGGCCATAAGAAGAGAATTATAACTGCAAGCTGAGAAAACTCAAGCGTCAGCCGAGCCTTCACGAGGAAGCTCCTTATGTGTCTTTGCTGAATCGCTGCCTTGAAGCCGCCGTGACATTCGTCCAATCAACGACCACAAACAGAGAAAAACAAAAAGCTCCGATTTATCTGTTGTCCTGCTTCCTTTCTGGTGAAACAAACCAAAAAAAAAAACATTAGAACTCACGTCTGAAAAGCAAATTATTCATCCGTCTGAACGGTGGGAAAGCAGAGGAGCCGCCGAAAACATGTAAAGATGTGAAGCGGCGAGTGGGCACCGGGAGAAGAAAACCTGTGTGATCCGTCTGAGTCACTTTTCTGTTGAAACCCACAGGATTCTCAGGGCTTTTGGCTTTGTGTGAATCCGGAGAGTGTGTGCGCGCACGCCGGCTAAATCCTCGATGACTCAGCTCTCAACTACTCTGCACTTTGTAGGGATTAGCCGAGGCATGTGGCAGACAAACATCGCCGCTAATGAGTACAGAAACCGCCTTTATCGGCCCGAGAGCCGGCGTGGCGTCACAGGTTCTCGGCGTGTGTGGGAAGAAATTACACATTTTATAAAATTAGAGGTCGACCGTTCTGTAAAAAGCAACTCCTGATGCATGAAATGAACAAGAGGCGGAATAATTAACGGAAATAAAATTAACACTGTGATGGATGTAGACTTATAATTTATGGTTTCATCCTGTTTTGTTTTTTTGTTTTTTGGTTCGCAGCATGACACTCAAGATCAAACATGTAATGAGATGATGATAATCGGCGCATCTGGTCCTCAGGATGAACCACAACAAGTCTGGCAGCTCTCCTGACAATTAAGGTCCAGATTTGAGTCAAATCAGAGCACCAGTGATTTCCACAAAAGCCCCAAAATGAGTTCTGGTTCGGATTCAAGAAGCAAAATTCTTCAGTAGCGGCTGGAATTCAAACTTTTGCCCAAACGGAGCAAAGACAGAAGTTGTGGAACGATTGTTTGAAGCCACAAAAAATAGTAATCTAGAAAGACGATGTAGTGAAAAGTCGTTCAAAATTAGCCGACTTCTTCCCAAACTTCTACTGGTGTTGATGCTTTTTGTATTATTGCTGCAATATGTGTTCATGTCTCTTAAAATTCAGTCTATTTGCAACGATTCCACACCTCAGGTTTCAGATTCCTTCTCTGTGCCAGTGCAGGAGATGATGTGGCCTCTTCGTAGAGATGAACACGTGGAGGTCGGGGTGGTGGACGGGCGTGTAGCACATCTGCACGTTTGTTAACTACAGCCACAACCAGGTGCTGTACTAACCATAGAAATCAGATTCCTCAGGCTAAATCATATCATACTTAGCATGCATAGACAGAAAAAGTTATGCATTTAAAAAACATTGTTATTGCACATATTCTGAGTTTTTCTGACAGTGTTGCTAAGCTA